TAAAATAACAACCCAGTTTATCTCCCAGGACAAATTAGCTAGCAACAGCAAGCTAGCTAAATGTCCATAAATGTTTCATGTGTGTTTCTACCTGTCCCAAAAATAATACACTTGGTTCACTGTTGGTTTTGGTATTTTAACCTGCGTGTCATGAAGGCGTCTGGTGGGGATAGACAAAATCAATATGCGCACACAGACGCATGCATGGAGACGGTTTGGTCAGCATGTTTGGGTCTTTCTTGAATTGCTGTGGCATTTGGGCATGGTATTTTTTTGTATGTATTTGAGTACATATTCACATTCTAAATCAACTACCATTGTGATATCATTGTGCCATCAGTGGTAACACCAATGACACATTTGAGGTAATTGAGGACTTTCTTAAATGGAGGCCACATATGCTCAAATCTAAGGTCATTAATTAACCCTTTAAAAATATTTTACTAAAGTGATATGATTAATAATTTTGCTCACAATGTTATTTCCCTTCATTTAAATTGAGTAACTCCAATTACACTTTATATTTATACACCAAATTATCAATGGCATGCTAAAATGTATGCATTACAGTTTGCCACGGGAATGCTCAAGGTCCTTGTATATCTTTGTAATTAGTGATTTTCAAGGAGGTAACATCAATTATATAAAACTTAGAGACACATTATAGTTGGAAATATATATATATATATTTATTTTGCAACGCGGCCGGCAACATGCTCGCGAAGCAAATTCCTTAGGCTAGTACTCGTCAGTTTGGTTTTCCTTAATGTGCAGCAGTTTATCAGCCTATCTATATTGCTGGAGGTTTCCTTACTAAATAAGATCAAAAGGACACTGTGTCATAAGTGATCACATGTCAGATACTGTTTGTATAATACATTCCTCCACTAGCGCATTACTGGCATAGGAGTTTCCGTTTCCATACTGTACATTGCATTGGTAGGTGTGGTTTTCTAAAGCAGGTTGCCCTGTAGTCCTGTGCACTACATTAGACTTCATAAGATAAGTGCTGAACATAATGTTACCCTCGTTGCAAATAACATAAAATATTCCCACCCTTATGACTGTCATTTCAATTCCCATAAACTAGGCCATCAGGTGAAGTGACCATAGAGATAATGAGGGAGATATAACTGAGGTGAAGTATGGAAAGTGAAACTTAAGTAAAGGGAAACTCATCCATTGGAATGATGCTAGCGTCACTCAGCAGGCCTATATATTGTCCCTCCCGGTGACTGAAACTCTTCACTTGGAAAGACATCACATCCCAGACAGAGCACACCATGGGCGTCCAGGGATTGACCAGCATTATGGAGGAGAATGTAAACATTTTTAAAATATGTTCACCTCATAAACAGCAAGCTGATCATAGATGGTAGTAATCTGTACTACTTGCTTTATTTTAACTCACGTTTGGATCAATCATGGAGGGGATTACTTGTTAGATATTACTGCACTGTCGGAGCTAGAAACACAAGCATTTCGCTACATCCGCAATAACATCTGCTAAACGTGTATGTGACCAATAAAATGTGATTTGATTTTATGCTTTGGAGGACGAAGTCTGCAAGTCTGTGGCATTGACCCTTATGCCATTTTAGATGGGGGCTCTGACAACACCGACAAAAAGTTTGAAATGCTCCGACAACGAGCGCAATCAAAGATCAACACAGCCAACCGCTGTGTACTAGCGTGTACTACTAACCCTTGTCAAACAGGTCCTCTCCAGCCTGAAGCAGTGTTGCCAACTTAGCGACTTTGTCGCTATATTTAGCAAGTTTTCAGACCCCTCTAGCGACACATTTTCAAATAAGCGACTAGCGACAAATCTAGCGTCTTTTTCTGGTGTTATTGGAGACTGACGTGAAAGCACGTATCGTTCTTACTCTTCCCAAAGCACTCACAGGCGGCCCAGTCCTCGCGCTGCAGTCAGAGCAGGAGATGTTCACCCCTTCCCGTCCAGACTGCAAATGAAGCCGCCGCTGGCTGATCCCGCCCTGGCTTACATTCAGGGCGGGATGTAAATGTAGGGTATTTTTTACAAAATGTTTGTCTCTCCCATGACTTTATTCCTCTCTCCCTCTCTCCTACAGCCTCCATCTCAATTACATGCACATGGTCAATTATGCAAATTAGGATCGGGTATGTATACATGTGTATGATATAGTATACACAGTACATTCAAACATACTGCTGTTGATTCTGAAAATGTATTCTCATTCTCTGTTCCTTAGGCTCCAAGGTCAGTGCAGCTTGAGGTGTTTTTGGAGACCCTTGGTGTGTCCCAGTCCACTTTGAGCTGTGTCCGGCCTCATCTGTGTCTTCCTTCACCCATCCCCGACCAGACTTGCCTCTTATTTGTGTACCGTCGATGACTGTCATTGACATTGTTTTTAGCATTAACTATAAAATAAGTTTATAAATGATAGATGTAGATTTTATAAATGATAAGACTGAAAAATGTATAATATACACATATATAAAAAAGTTAAGTTTGACTTATTTCTTTGCTCTCTACTGTAAAGCGTATTTTGGTCTTTGAAAATAGCTATATAAATCCCATGTATTATTACAATTACATTACTGCTGCACTGGAAATATTTTATCTTCATTTTATAATAAAAATGAAAAATAACATTTAAACCAGCTATTGTTGAGAATTATTTGGTATACACAATAAAGTCCAACTCTGCTATGGCAGTATATTTTATATGGAAATCTTAAACTGAATAAATCTTAGATATTGTAGTTTTTAGCTCAATCTGAGCAAAAATGAGATTTTCAGAATTGTGTGTCAGTGACGCTGAAAACGTATGACACAAACCCTTCACCCAGTTAAAACACACTTTTTAAAAATATATATACATTTTCATTAATGTACAGATTTATTCTCATACCAACACAACAGAGTACTGACTTCAGCTGTGCAACACACAAAACAAATCATAAATAAAATAAAAAACAATAAAAACAAATCGTAGCTGATTTGGCCTGTCAAATGGACCAAAGCAGAGAGCATAATCTCTTGGAAAATAAAGACCCAGACTAATAGAAAGAGCTGTCGATGTTAGCCTATACCCGCTAGGTGCTGCTGTAGGTACAGGACTTATGTTGCCTTATCCATAGCACAGACAAAAACTAATTCAGAAAGCAACATCAATGAATTAGGTACCTGTCCTAAAAATTCTGAAACAACTTCATCTCCTGGTTCATAAAGAAATAAACCTGGAATGGGTATGACTCAATACTCAAATAACTAAAATGTAAATAACCCATAATCAACTGAACCAGTCTTTATAAACCTGGGAATTCGATTATATCTAATGTAAATGATTATCAAAACAAGCTTGTTAATTGATTGATTCTGCATTGTGAAATACAACCCAGGAATGTCTAGCTGTACCAAAACAAGGCCTCAGAGGCTCCTGGAAAGAGCATGAAGAGAAAAATGTGCTTAAAATGGCCACTTTTGACCCAAAACACAAGCAACATGTATGAACAGTGCATGTACAGTAAATTGTTGTCATGGAGATAAATATTAGCATTTAAATTACAGTGTGTAAAATAGAGGCAGAATATTAAAAGGCCCAATGCAGCCGTTTTGATCTCAATATCAAATCATTTCTGGGTAACAATTAAGTACTTTACTGTGACTGTCTTCAATCAAAAAATGATCAAAAAGAAACAAAAATAGCTTCTTAGCAAGAGCAATTTCCTCAAGCAAAAATGTAGCTAGGACTGTCTAGGCGTGGTCTGAGGGGGGAGGGGGAAACTGAAAACCAGCTGTTATTGGCATGTCACCAGGCAGGCCAAAACTCCATCCCACCAAAACAGGCTGACATTTCAGGTGGCATTTTCAAACAGATCTTACACTAAAAGGGCATTATCATAATTTTCACAATTTCACAGTATTATTCCAACCTCATAGTGTGAAAATAAATATTAAACACATTACAATGTTTGACAGCACTGGACAAAATATCTCTGTGCCTTTCATTCCAGGCAAACAGTTAATTCCCAAAATGGAAAAGATAATGTAGGTTAGATAAAGGGGAAGTGAAGGATGTTGGGGCGACAGACAGTGGCTGGGGACTGGGAGAAAATTAACTGTTTAGTACTGCTTGCTCACTGGAAAAAGAAACTGCGTTGTGATGGTCCAAAACACAGAGTGCCTCCAGGGACAACTAAATAGATAGTCAGAGTGGTATCAAATGAAGGCCATCTGTCCTCCTCTGTGAGAAAAACCAAACAAAACTTAGATCTATCTTTTGAAGAAAATTAATTATTTTCAACCACCAAAATCACAAGGTTTAGTGGTCAACTCTTCCTAAAGTCTATATCAAAACAAAACAAAAGTATGCTCACAATTATCAAGCCTTAGTTGATGGTGAGATTGCTACGAGCATGAAAAGCTGGAATGCATGAAAGTAACATCTCTAGACTTCCACAAAGCTATGGTCAGCTACCTGCACTCCAAACAAGGTGATGAGAGATAAGAAAAGAACCGTTACAAAATTCATTTTATGTTCATGAACCCCAAGACATGAAGTTGCTCTACAAACAATGATGCTGTCATTAATTGGTCTTAACACCTAGACATGAGTAGCTGATCTACGAGCAGTGACATTGTCCTCTCAGATCATGACACCATAGACATGAATAGTTGCCATATGAACAACAGTTACAATGTCTCATAAATAAAGCCCCTCCTGAGTTCCAGGAGGATGGTTCAGACTCAAAGCAGCACGCCAACGCTTCTCACTGGGGAGGGCAGGGGGGCACTGTAGGGGTGAGATCCTCTTCGCCCACTTCCAATCCATGACTGAACAGTGAATGCCAGCGAGGGACAATGACTGTTTGAGTTTCCTCTCCAGTCCCTGTGTTCAGACCAAATAACCATTGCATCCCATCTGCATGTACCCCCCCCCCCCCCCAACAAACAACCCAGCCCTGCCCCCTCCTCGCCCCTATCTACTCCGTTACACAGAACGCAATGTGCGTCATACATCGTGGAAGGAGTCTTCTTCAGCCACTGTGGTTCTCCTCTCCCTCACTCCTCTCCACCTCTCGATCCACTTTATGGCCTCAGAGACCACGCAGACAGAGGACGTGAGGCCCACCAGGAACAGCAGGTCTGGAAGGGAAGAAGGGACGGAATGTTACTACAGCACATATAAACTGTCACCCCCATCACTAACAGACCAGGGCCTGTCTCAGAACAGGAGAGCTGACGTAGGATCAGGTCCCCCACCCCCGTCCATTCATTAGGGCGGCAGGTAGCCTAGAGGTTAGAACACAGGATCAGGTCCCCCACCCCCGTCCATTCATTAGGGCGGCAGGTAGCCTAGAGGTCAGAACACAGGATCAGGTCCCCCACCCCCGTCCATTCATTAGGGCGGCAGGTAGCCTAGAGGTTAGAACACAGGATCAGGTCCCCCACCCCCGTCCATTCATTAGGGCGGCAGGTAGCCTAGAGGTTAGAACACAGGATCAGGTCCCCCACCCCCGTCCATTCATTAGGGCGGCAGGTAGCCTAGAGGTTAGAACATAGGATCAGGTCCCACACCCCCGTCCATTCATTAGGGCGGCAGGTAGCCTAGAGGTTAGAACACAGGATCAGGTCCCCCACCCCTGTCCATTCATTAGGGCGGCAGGTAGCCTAGAGGTTAGAACACAGGATCAGGTCCCACACCCCCTGTCCATTCATTAGGGCGGCAGGTAGCCTAGAGGTTAGAACACAGGATCAGGTCCCCCACCCCCGTCCATTCATTAGGGCGGCAGGTAGCCTAGAGGTTAGAACACAGGATCAGGTCCCCCACCCCCGTCCATTCATTAGGGCGGCAGGTAGCCTAGAGGTTAGAACATAGGATCAGGTCCCCCACCCCCGTCCATTCATTAGGGCGGCAGGTAGCCTAAGGTTAGAACACAGGATCAGGTCCCCCACCCCCGTCCATTCATTAGGGCGGCAGGTAGCCTAGAGGTTAGAACACAGGATCAGGTCCCCCACCCCCGTCCATTCATTAGGGCGGCAGGTAGCCTAGAGGTTAGAACACAGGATCAGGTCCCCCACCCCCGTCCATTCATTAGGGCGGCAGGTAGCCTAGAGGTTAGAACACAGGATCAGGTCCCCCACCCCCGTCCATTCATTAGGGCGGCAGGTAGCCTAGAGGTTAGAACACAGGATCAGGTCCCCCACCCCCGTCCATTCATTAGGGCGGCAGGTAGCCTAGAGGTTAGAACACAGGATCAGGTCCCCCACCCCCGTCCATTCATTAGGGCGGCAGGTAGCCTAGAGGTTAGAACACAGGATCAGGTCCCCCACCCCCGTCCATTCATTAGGGCGGCAGGTAGCCTAGAGGTTAGAACATAGGATCAGGTCCCCCACCCCCGTCCATTCATTAGGGCGGCAGGTAGCCTAGAGGTTAGAACACAGGATCAGGTCCCCCACCCCCGTCCATTCATTAGGGCGGCAGGTAGCCTAGAGGTTAGAACACAGGATCAGGTCCCCCACCCCCGTCCATTCATTAGGGCGGCAGGTAGCCTAGAGGTTAGAACACAGAATCAGGTCCCCCACCCCCGTCCATTCATTAGGGCGGCAGGTAGCCTAGAGGTTAGAACATAGGATCAGGTCCCCCACCCCCGTCCATTCATTAGGGCGGCAGGTAGCCTAGAGGTTAGAACACAGGATCAGGTCCCACACCCCCGTCCATTCATTAGGGCGGCAGGTAGCCTAGAGGTTAGAACACAGGATCAGGTCCCCCACCCCCGTCCATTCATTAGGGCGGCAGGTAGCCTAGAGGTTAGAACACAGGATCAGGTCCCCCACCCCCGTCCATTCATTAGGGCGGCAGGTAGCCTAGAGGTTAGAACACAGGATCAGGTCCCACACCCCCGTCCATTCATTAGGGCGGCAGGTAGCCTAGAGGTTACCATCATTAGGGCGAGGTAGCTAGAGGTTAGAACACAGAAATCAGGTTCCCCACCCCGTCCATTCCTTAGGGCGGAAGGTAGCCTAGAGGTCTAGAACATAGGATCAGGTCCCCCAGCCCTGTCCATTTCATTTAGGGCTGGCCAGGTTAGCCCTAGAGGTTAGGAACGCCCAGGGCCGGGTGGACCGAAAGGTCGAGGGTTTGAATACCGGAGTCGACAAGGTTGAAAAATCTGTCGCTGTGCCCTTCGGCAATGGTACTTAACTCTAATTCCTCCCGGGTGGGGCGCTTTGTACAATGGTGAACCTCTGGCCGTGATTCGCCCCCCTCCCTGTGGATGTCTCATGGGGAGTTGGGGATATGCAAAAACACACATTTCCATTTCAACACTGTGTAACAGGACAAATATACGCACCCCTTCAATTACTTATTATGAATCTAAAAGGCCTAAACTGATCCTAGATCAGAACTATTCTGAGACGCTTTATGAATATAGCGGCCCTGGAAGGCTTAGGGTTTTAAATCTTTAGCTCAATGGGCTAACATGTCTTTCTTACCAAAGATGCTGAGGCTCTCTGTCTGGAAGACACTCTGCAGTGGAGGGAAGTAGATGACCGCCAGCTGGCCCATGATGGAACCCAGCACCGCGTAGCAGAACATCTTGTTACTGCACAGGCCCATCTCATGGACCATACGAGTCTGACAGAGAGATGGATAAAGAGAGAAACAGAGAAAGTCATCATCAAGCATATGAATCAACAACAGATCCTAGGTGACATGTTTCTGCCCACTAATCTTTCAGATCCTTCATCCTTGTGTAGGGCACAGCAGTGTACCCACCTGTGAGCGTGAGCTGAGTGCGTTGAACATGTCGAAGAACACAAAGCAGGTGAAGGTCATGGTGGTGTCTCTGGGAGTGATCAGGTTGTCCTGAAGCTGAGAGGATGAGATACAAACACATTGATGGAAATATGAGTCAACTGATACAGGAAATAGGTAGGGATTGGCTTCGATTCACTATTAAAAATGATCATTGGGATTTTCTTTTCTGGGCTCATGGATTTATGACTTTACTCTCAACCCACATGTCCAACATCAAAAGCAAATCAAGAAACCACGTAGTTACAGTACATAGTAGACCACGTAATTACAGTACATAGTAGACCACTTAATTACAGTACATAGTAGACAACGAAATTACAGTAAATAGTAGACCAATAAACAAACAACAAATATATCTTATGAACACAAAAACAAAACGCAATACACAGTCTGATTATAACAGACCAGTAATAATATTGATTTGACAGAAGTTTGGTCATGCTGGTGAATGATGAAGAACACTACTATGATTACTACTTGCCTCTCTCCAGAAGACGAACAGGGTGCCGCATACGATGACGAGTGCCGACACCAGCACCTTGACGAGCAGACCGCGTGTGAGGATGCTGTCCCGCACGTTTCTTGGAGGCTTCCGGATCACATCCTTATCCACTGGCTCCACTCCCAGACTAAGGATGACAGAGGATTACATGGATTTCCATCTACGGTAATTACCATGAACTATTTTTTACACAAAGCATCAGTAATTGCGACTTTAAATTTGGTGGATTTAAATATAAAAGCGGCAGGTAGCCTAGTAGTTAGAGATTTGGCCCAGTAAGCGAAAGCTTGCTAGTTCGAGTCCCCGAGCTGACAAGGTGAAAAAATATGTCGATGTGCCCTAATTGCTCCAGGGTCAACGTTGATAATGGCTGACCCTGGCCGTGATCCCACTGTCCCATGGTTGGGATATGCAAAAAATGCATTTCCATTTCACACAAGCGTATAATACAAACTTGTACATGTGTGAAACAAGACAAACATAAGCACCCACTAAGTTCTTAAATGACACCAAATTCTTAAAATGATTATAATAATAATATAATTATTATTATATACAATCTTGTGAAACTGAAAGCAGACCATTTCCATGACAAAAGACTACAGTTCCCATAATGCTTTGTGGGGTGTCACCTCTGAGCGGGAGGTCCGTCCATGATGATGTTGATCCACAGGATCTGCATGGCATTCAGAGGGTTGGGGAAGTTCATCAGCGTTGCCAGGGAGATGAGGGTGAGCGCTGCGATGCTCCTAGGAAACACAATAATGCCAATTTAATAATATTGACAAGAATCTATTTATCAAAAAGTTAGCTCTCCACCACTCACGTGCTCAGCTGGAAGCGGACAAAGTTTTTTATGTTGTTGTAAATTCCTTTCCCTTCCTCGATGGCAGACCTAACGGACGAAACATTATGACAGAATTATTAACTCATTTTGGTATCCTAGCAAATACACATTTCTAGAAACCATGATGGCTTTGAAGGCCCATTGAGTTTACTAACTGGGTAACACTTTATATATCAAGTGTTACTGCAAACTGTTTAAAGTTTCCTCACAAGATGGTCTGGAAGTCATCGTCCACTAGGATCATGTCTGCTGCCTCTTTACACACGTCAGTGCCCGTCTGGCCCATGGCAACGCCGATGTCTGCTGCTTTCAGCGCTACAGCATCATTCACACCATCACCTGTCATCGCCACCACGGCACCAATGTTCTGGAGAGACTGGAATGAGAGAGGGAGCGAGGAGATAGAACAGTCAATCCTTGTAATACATCCAAATTATAGTCATGAATTGAAAACTCCTGAAAGAACACAAACTGTTTTTAGTTAATGAATCAAGTTCCTTGATCTTGATTGAAGTCATTCCTTGAGATTAAAGGTTGAAATTGGCTATTTTATGGAGTGGATTTTCTAATAATTGTGTGATTTTCTTCTCTAGCACTCGTAACACTAGTGACTGGAAAACCACTAGGTATACTGTAGGACACTTCCCCGTGACTGAATGTGACAAATTGTGGTGGGAGTTGCCAGAGACTTCCCAGGCCTTTGGAGCCACATGCTGCCAGGCCAGGCGCTGCCTACGCAGAACGGGCACTCACACGTCATCTCATGCCAGCTGGCTGACACTTGGCCGGGGCCACTCACCTTGACTATCTTCAGCTTGTGTCTGGGGCTGGCCCGGTAGAACACCACTATCTGGAGGAGGCAGAGACATCACCCTGTTAACTCAGCCCTGTTAGACATCACCCCGTTAACCCAGCCCTGTTAGACATCACCCTGTTAACCTAGCCCCGTTAGACATCACCCCGTTAGACATCACCCCGTTAACCCAGCCCTGTTAGACATCACCCTGTTAACCCAGCCCTGTTAGACATCACCCTGTTAACACAGCCCTGTTAGACATCACCCTGTTAACCCAGCCCTGTTAGACATCACCCTGTTAGACATCACCCCGTTAGACATCACCCCGTTAGACATCACCCCGTTAGACATCACCCCGTTAGACATCACCCCGTTAGACATCACCCCGTTAGACATCACCCCGTTAACCCAGCCATGTTAGACATCACCCTGTTAACCCAGCCCTGTTAGACATCACCCTGTTAGACATCACCCCGTTAGACATCACCCCGTTAGACATCACCCCGTTAACCCAGCCCTGTTAGACATCACCCCGTTAACCCAGCCCTGTTAGACATCACCCCGTTAGACATCACCCCGTTAGACATCACCCCGTTAGACATCACCCCGTTAGACATCACCCCGTTAGACATCACCCCGTTAGACATCACCCCGTTAGACATCACCCCGTTAGACATCACCCTGTTAACCCAGCCCTGTTAGACATCACCCCGTTAACACAGCCCTGTTAGACATCACCCTGTTAACACAGCCCTGGTAGACATCACCCTGTTAACACAGCCCTGTGTTGGAGTGTTTTACAGCTTGATAACAAACATTTAATAAAAGCTCTGACGAAGGCCAAGAGGCTGACATGTGAGCTTCAATATAAATAAGTGATAACAGCAAGAGCAGCGTGAGGGTTTCTCTGTATGTGAACATAATAAAGGTATTCAATTCAATAAAAAAAGGATATAAAATAAAAATAAGAGAGCCGCACACTCTAGGACAGGGATCATCAACTAGACTCAGCCGGGGGACGTTTTATTTCTTGAGCGGATGGTTGGGGGGCCGGAACATGATTACAAATAATTTGTAGACTGCAAATTGACTGCAAGAAGCCCAAACATATATAATATTGGACTAAAACATAATAATTTCAAACCTTGCTTACATTTGTATATGATCACATCTTTCTATTATGAGTGGAAATACTTGGGGACAGATTTCCCAAATTAAAATCAATTGGAGCTGATTTCCTGGTGTTTTTACAGTTTGTTATGTTCTACAATGAAAATGCAACAATTCTTATTTTTTATTTTAGTTTTTTTTGCTCAGAAAACTTGGGGGGCCAAATAAAACCACCGGCCCGCAGGTTGGGAACCCTGCTCTAGGAGCTCAGATGCAATAATTTAATAACCAACGTTTCGACCGACAAGCTGTCTTCATCAGGGTATATTAATACTAGCCATACATATATATATATATTTTTTTGTATTTATATGTATGTATATATATTTGCAAACAAAATATATGGGGGATTGGAAGAGATGCAGACAATTACATTAATGGAAGCTTCAATCTATCTGCAATATTAAAGCTGATCTACCCCCTAAAACACTAAAAATATCTATATACTTTCCTTTTTTTGTGTGTGTTCTACTCCGCT